CTGTTCAGGCACAGCTCCAGGGGCTGCGGGAGGAAGAACAAGATGGAGCTCCTCAGCCTCTCCCGCTTTCCTGGAAGTTATCTAATCAGGTTCCATGAACTTTGCCTCGATTTCAGTCATAAAAATACCATAGGCACCATGAGCTTGATCTTCCTTATTGTCCTCCTTGGTAACTTTGCCCTGCAGTGATAGAGAGGTGGTACAGACAGGTACACAACACCATCCCTCTGCAGAGTGAGCATCCGTTCCCTGCGTACCAGAGCACAACCCCTGCACATCCCAGAAGGGTACCCCATCCCTGCAGGCATTCAGGGCCAGGCTGGATGTGGCTCTGGGCAGCCTGGTCTGGTGGCTGGCGACCCTGCACATAGCACTTTCAACATGGTTTGAAACTCGATGATCATTGTGGTCCTTTTCAAACGTCAGCATTAGCCTAGCACAGCCCTGCAGGGCGTCTTTTCAAAATGGAAAATTGCTGGCAAGCCCTGTAATACCGCAAAGGGGAAATCCCTGGAAATACCAGGTCAGGTTGGCTCCTCTTACCAGCCAGCATCACCCTGCGTGTATCAAACCCCCTCGGCCCACAGAGCCTCCTGGATTACCCCAAGGTCTTTCCTGTTCCTGCTGCGAGGAGGCAGAAGGCGCGCCAGTGTAATTGCTGCACGCCGCCGGCGGTTTGCCCCAGCCAGCTCTGCACAGCCCGAGCTGCTCAGCTTGCACCTGTGGGAAGCCAGGGGCACCTGGCCGTGCCGTGCAGCAGGAGAGCAGGCTGCTGGCAGCCCTGCCTGCATCTGGAGGAGGCCAGTCTCATCCAACCAACTGCACAGCCCCACGGCCTCTGCAACGATGGCTACAGCATCCTTGCCAAAAACTACCACTGCTGTTTATAGGTGGAAGACAGGAGGATAATGGGGGAAGGGGGGAGCAGGAGGAGGAGGTGTTTGTTTTTCCATTGAAGCTAACACACCAAATATTCTTAGAGAAGAGTGGAGGACAGAGCACAGACTGTGCAGGTCCCCCTGTACCAAGCAAGAGTAGCTGCAGAGAACTGTTCTGGGCTGTTCTCCTTCCACCCTATTCCTTCACAGAAGATCTCTCATGCCTTGTCACCCTCTGACAGGTTCCCCATGAGATTACCGTTCTAAAAACCAGGGCCCACTGGGCTGGGATGAAGCCACTGTTGGCCAACCAATACAGAGATGTCAGAGGACCACAACCTGAGGAGCTCACATGGTCATGAAGAGCACAAAACCTCCTTTAGATTGCCTCTGAAGCATCCACGTCCTAGCTCCAGGACATCTTCTTCCTTTATGGGCATTTACAAATGCCTCCAGCGCCCTCCCTACACCAAAACGCCTGGGCATCTGAAAGGTGAGAAGGGCCCCAAAAGTGAAAATAAAAAGGCAAGAAGGCTTCACAGTGACTGAGAATAAGGGGGGTGAAGGGGTAGAGTTAGAGATAGTTTATAGAAGTAAGAATGGTAGGCAAGCAGAGCTTGTTAGAAAAATAAGGGATGGCAGACACTGGGTCTGGGATAGTAAGGGGGATGAAGGCCATAGCGATAAGGTTTGAGAACAGCCCAGAGACATCTGGCAGGGAGGTGATTAGATGTCCGGGGGGCTAGAAGAAATCGGTTTGGGGGGCTGCCCCCCCAAAAAGGTCAGAAGTTTACAGCGAGAAAGGTCAGAAGCCTTCGCAAGGAAGACTTCATCCAATGACCCACTATGCACGCACAAGAGGGGAGGGTCTGCATGGTAATGAACTCTCGGGGGGGTGTAATGAGTATGGATTCAAATTCCGGGAGAACTATTGATGATGTATTAGTTCAGCCTATATCTGTAGCACGATTTTTCCTGATGGTGTGCAAATTAGGTGCATCTATCCCCCTTGCACCCAGTGTACGTGCACCGCTGAATAAACCAGACCTGCTTTGTAATCTTACTTGGGTTACAGTTTGATTCCGCACATCACATCCACAGCTGGAAAGACAGGGAACATCACACAGAACTAGGGCATTGGCAGCCCAGATATCCCATAAGCAAGTGAAAATGGCCCTCATGCAGGCACCACAAGGCATCTCCAGGGGCCAGCAGCATCCCAGTGCCAAGAGAGCTGCCACAAATCCAGCACAAAGCCAGACATCCCCAAATCCGCTCATTATCCAGCTCCTAATAACATTACCAGGTGCACAAAAGTTCAAGATGTTATCCATTCACTGAAATGTTTCCCAGGAGACAAATCAGTGCATTCAAGGAAGAAAATATCATGGGCACAGAGTGAGAAAGCCATCACATCTCCAGGTAACAACCAGCAGGGAATCCACTGCCATGGACACCCACAGGAAGCAGGAGGGTACCACTGCCCTCAGGGCAGCGTGGATGCTCAGCGAGGCACTGCACATCCCTGGCATCCCCAGTGCAGCATTATCTGTGGTGTGTCTCACTCACATGCAAGAGCATCGCTGTGACAGCAGACAGGCAGCTAGAAGATGTGGTCAGGAGGGTGCCCTGGGAAAGAGGAAGGCCTCGCTCTGGCCAAAACTCCTGTCCTCAGGGAGGACACGGTGATAATGTGGGTGTGACTGTGGACGTGTGGACCCTGCAGGCATAGGATGGCAGCAAGAAGCTCGGGTGGGAGCTGGGGACTCCTGGAGGAGAGCTGTCACAGACTGAGAACCCCATGGGCTGGACCTAACCCTAACCCTAACCCCAGCGGTGGTTACCTTCTCTGTCCCTCTCTCTCTCTCTATTTTTTCCTCTTGAAGTTGTTAAGTAACACCGGGTTTATTGTGGCTTCTTTTAAAGTCACACAGTTCAGCCGCACGGCTTAGATTTAACCCTGAGAGTGGCAGTACTTCTAAGATCATTCCAAGTACCGACATTCTCATTAAGACTGATTATTATGTTTGGACCTTGAGTGTTGCATCACCTTAATCCAACCGAGGCGACTGGTGAATCCGGTCACCCTCTCTCCCAGGACGGGTGGGACACGGCACCCACCCAGGGGACCCGTCTGTGCGGTGCAGGCTGCGCTGACATCCCGCAGCCCGCACTTCCAGGACTCCAGAACAAAGGGTCCGCGTTCAACCTGCCGCACGCACGTCCACGGGGCTGCTCTCGTGATCGCAGGCGAAGTTTACGGATGCCCAGCCGCTGCAGGGGCGGCCAGCGCGACGAGCAGGTGCCGGGCGGGCGGGGAAACGCCGCTCCGACTCGAAGGAGCCCCGATGCAGCGCCGGGCTCCGCGCAGGGCTGCCGCGGCCACTCGGCGATGCCGGGAGGCGAACACCGCGCCCCGAGCGCGCAGCCCCCGCCGCCGGACGGCCGCGCCCCGCCGCGTCCCCGCGCCGTCCCCGTGCCTGCGGATGGCGGCGGCCGCTCCGCACAAAGCGGGGTGGGGCCGCGGGAGCCCCGCAGCGCCGCACCGCACCGGCACCGCCCCCGGCTTCTCCGCACGGCAGCGGCTGGAGGAGCCGTCCCTCCGCTACCGCCCGTCCCGTTCCCGACGGCGGCAGGTGCCCGGCCTTCCCTCCCCACGCGCGTCTCGGCCCCGCGCCGTCCCGCTCCTTACCTCGCTGCTGGCCGCGGGGGTCCGGCGGCCCGCAGGGCGTGCACATGGGAGCAGCGCCGCGCCAGCCCAGCCCGCTCCCCGCCCCGGCCCGCCCCCATGCCGCGCCCCGCAGCCGGGAGGTGTCCGCGGGCGCCCGGTGCGGATGCGGGCGGCTGGCGGTGCGGTGCTTCGTAACCGCGGCTTGACGCGCCGGCGCCTCGCCTGTCCCCTGCAGGGCGGCCTTGCGCGGTCCCCCGACGTCGTCAAGGAGTTGCGGTGCGGTTTGGGCTGCGTTTCGCTGGGAAACACCTTGTTGTCATCTGCAGCGCTGTCGCTGCACGGTGATGCGCCCGACCGCCGCTCCCACGTCCGTCCTCAGCTCGGCACCGGGCTGGCTCGGCGGCCCCAGCGGCGCACGTTTGTTGGCACGTGTGGGCTCGGAGCCGCCCACCTTCACAGGCAGCTCGTAGCGCCCGCAGAGCCGCAGATCGGGCCTGGGGCCGTGCCTGGTGCCGCGGAGCTCGGCGAGGAGGTGGCAATGCCCAAGATCAGTCGCAGGGCAGAGGACGTGTCCCTGGCCAGCTACCCGGCTGACATCGCTCCGTCCCATTCCCGCATCCCACAAACATCAGTCGGGCGCGACGGCGGCTCTGTGCTGAGCCGGCGAGGACAGCCCTGCAGGACCGTGCTCTCCTGGGGCGGGATGCTGCAGTTCGGAAGCAGGAAGGATGCGGAGATGTTGGAGCGAACCCGGAGGAGGACCACGAGGATGATCTGAGGGCTGAGCACCCCTCCTGCAGTGAAAGGCTGAGGGAATTGGGCTTTGGAGAAGAGAAAACTCTGGGGAGAGCTCACTGTAGCCTTCCAGGACTTGCGTGGAGCTTATATACGAGAGGGAGAACAACTTTCTACGCAGTTGGATAGTGACAGGACAATGGGGAATGGCTGTAAACTTAAAGAGGGGATATTTAGGTTAGATGCTGAAAAAGAAATAGGTGAGCTGCTGGCACAGCTGCCCAGAGAAGCTTTAGGTGCCCATCCCTGGAGGTGTTCCAGGCCAGTCTGAATGGGGCCCTGGGCAGTATGAGCTGGTGTGACCTCAGCTCCAAACCCCGCTGCTGAGGACAAGGGAAACAACAGGCCTGTGGCAGGTTTGCATGGAAGAAGCCTCTTGTTGGCTACACCCAATTAATGCTATTTAACGACGGCCTGCCTAGTTTCCACCTGTCCTGCTATAATTATTTTCAGCCCTGCAAAGCTGGATGTCACTGGCTGCGGTACACACATGGTGGCAGATGGTGTGGAGGCATAGCAGGGACTTCTGGGACTGATTTAAACGCTGCCCTTGTCAAAACTGGTGGGCCTTTCAGAGTTTCAACATGCGAGAGATTTTACTGTGTTGAAAAATGTTAAACTTAGCAGAGGAGTAAGCAAAATACACTGTTGACTTGAATTTGCTTTTGGAACATCTTTTCCCACAAGAATATTGCCGTGAACAGCCCAAGGACTGCAGGCAGGTCCTGTGATGGAGCCTTATCACTCCCCTCCCCTGGCAAGGCCTTCACTCTCTGCTCTGTCATTCTACCTGGAAGAGAAGCCCAAGCCTGGAATAAAAATTAACCCAAGTCAGAAAAAAAGAGTCCTGGGCCTGGCTCTGTCAGGGCAGCACACCAGGGTACAGCAGGGGATCGAGTTGCCCTGCCATGCATTGGCACTTTTGCAAGGAAGGGATTAGCTAAGAGGTATGAAGGTAACGGTGGTTCAGATCAGGGCTGAAGCCACCTGTTGTCAAACCAGGGGACCCCTGAGCCAGCAGAGGAGTTCTGTGTGGTTCACAAGTGCCAGTGCAGGCAAGTGGAACTACTGGACACCGGATGCTCCATCTCAAACTCTTGTTTCCCAGCCATAACAGCTGGCCGTGGCAGCACAACATATCCTCATGAATTTCATGCAGAGATAACCTTTGTTCAGAACAGCCCAGGATCCATGGCTACCACAGGTCTTGCTGAGGCCTTTAGGACCAGCACACAGCTAAGTTAAACTTTGGGGCCCGGCTCACATCCCGTGACACCAGTGAGTCAGGAGCATCAGAGCTGGTGGAGCAGGAGGGAATAGGAGCAGGGGCTGTGAGAGCACCTTGGCTAGGCAGAGGCCTTGCAGTTATTCCCATTGGTGATTAGCAATCAGAGGAACGCCATTAAACGTACGTGTGGAGCAGAACCAAGAAGTCTGAATAAAAATAGAATTTTAAGTATACTTCTAATTTCCATGTCATGATTTAAGAGAGAATGCTTTTCAAAAGCCAAAAGTAGCAGCAGTCTGTATTTGCGTGCATGCATGAACCTATGAGTCAATGAGATCAGCAGCTATAAAGAAAATCCTCCTGTCCTTGGAGCTTCTCTAGTTACATGGCATCCTTTTGAAACTGGCGTGTGCTTTTTGGAGGGGGGGAAGGGGGCAGGGTTGAGATGTTGTGGTAAGACACTGCTAAGACTTTCTTCTCACCCCACACTGTCAGTGTGCACAGGCGTTGCTGACACGCAGTGGATCTATCTCACTGTTGCCCATCTACCTGCTGCAGGGTTTTCACACTTCCCAGAACCTCAGCTCTCATTTGAATGTAAATCCATCCTGTGTGTCGGCCTCTAGAGGGCTCTGCCAGCTCAGACTTCTGTCATTCTTCGAAACTGGCTGATGGGAGTCCTTCTGTCTCGTGTTGCATGCCCCAGCTCTACCAACCTCAGGTGAACAGAGGCCGTTGCTGCACTCACCGTTGCCTATTGCCCAGCTGGCTGTGAATGCTCCCCCTCCCTCTCTCTGCAAGCGTGGATGACTTTATACACACAAGGTTTAGAGGAGGTATAATTTGCTGAGTGGGCTCCTTCTAAAAATGTAGAGCAGATGCCTCCCTGTACAGCAGGGCTCAATGTGTGCTGCAAGTGCCTGCACTGCAAGCACACCTGGAACGTCTCAGCAGGAAAGCAGGGCAGCAGAATCAGGATAGGGAAAAAAAAGCTGTATTTATCTGAAGCACTTGACTAACTTCTGCATCTGTGGAGGACTGAGCTGCAGGCTCAAGGGACAGGGGAGGTCAGGGCAGAGGAGAAAGCTATCAGATCTCATTTGCTAGAGGCAGAGGAGCCTCTAGCAAATGAGATCTTCCATGGTGATCCATGCAGCTAATTAGCAGGAAATAGTAACTTTTAGCATGTGTGTGATCTAGTCCAAATGGTTTCACCCCTAAAGTGCCATATTCCATGCGTCATAGCACCATCCACATTGGAAACTTGGGCACAGCAAAGAGAAAAGATGGATTCCCTTCAAAACCTCAGAGAAATCAAGTCAGAAAGGACACATTCACGTGGATTTTCAGTGCATGTCAGAGACAGGGACATCAGTGAAGAAACCTAGTAGAGGAGAAGCATACCTCAGAAGCAGAGAAGACCACACACTCATCCTGGTCAACTGTGGGTCAAAAGACTCATCTGTCCCCAGCAGTCCAAGTTGCCATATCATGTCCATAGCCAGCTGGTTTAACAGCAAGATGAAACCTCTCTAGTGCAAATTCAGTTTGTCGCAGGTGGCTCTGCTCAAAGCTAAACAAAGAGGAGGGGTAGTTCCCAGCATTTTCCAGCCAGGCAAGAGACATACCTTGTTCCCCTATGGATTCCCACAGGAACCAAAATAAACTAGAGAGACAACTCCACCTTCCCACGTTTCATCTCACTTGTCCCAGCCTGAGCCCCATAGCAAGATGTCCTCCTCCAGCTTCCAGGCTTCCTTCTTCAGGCCCAACCTGGAGAGAGCAGCATGGCTCAGCAGCTGCAGGTTTGTGTGTGAGCTCTCCTGGCAAGTGAACCACTAAAGGCACCGTGTGTTCAAAGAGCAGGTTCCCCTCCCAACCACTTAAGTAGTTTAGGTACCAGTGAGGAAATGCTCTTGGTTTATTTATTTGTGATTTTACATGCATGGAAAAATCTCTTTCAAGCCTCTTCAAGAAATGCCCTGCTTGGTTGGATCATTTGCATCATGTTGTGGTACCACAACCATTATTTCCTGCAGATCTTCAGCTGCATCTCTCAGTTGCACAGCACGGGGTGGACAGAATGGGTAAAATTCCTCTGACACCTTCCAATCTATCACAAAGCCTGGCTAAATCCCCATATGGTCCTACATCTGTAGCCTTGCTTCCAGGGACAGATGAACTCCTCACAAGCATCTGTTCTCTCTCTGTCACACACAGATAGTCATTAGACCTTTCACAAGGTGAAAGAGGAGTGATGAACTCCGTTTTCTCTATATCTCTTCTTCCTCCTCACTAACGATTTCCTCCAAGCCTTGAGATCCCTGCTCTGCTCTCCCTTTTACGTAGGCTGCTTTGATCTGTTCCAGCTCGCACAGCTCTGTCTCCAGCTCTCCCCTGTGAATTCTCCTCCGATTCCTCAGCAGCTTCATGGGGAAGGGGTTTAAATCATTGAAGGCAATGTTCATCAGCTTCCTACAATGGAAAAGAGGCCTGGTGAACACACTTACTGTCTGAAATGGTAACAAATACCCAAGTGTTTAAGGAGAGTGGGATTTCCCAGACCAAACCTCTCTGGTGCAGCTTATTATTCACTCCTCCAGGATGCTGCAGAAAGTATTTCAGCTCTCTGTGCTCAGCAGTCACCAAGCAGCAGAGCCATAAAGGAATCACAGGCAATTGCTTCTTACACAAGCAACAAACCAAGGGAACCTTTTAAAATACATTTTTAAATTATGCAGCACACAGTGAGGAGATGGACTATCCAAGACCAACCCTGATGACTCATCATCCTTGGAGGAGGAATAGTCCCTATGCTCAGCTCTTCTGATTATACAACTGTTATTCTTAAGCACTTGGTGCTATTAAAGGCCATGTGCAGCACTGTGTTCCCAAATACCTTGATCACTTCAGCTGTAAGAAACCCAGGTAGGACTCCCAAGTTCCAGCTGCTGAAAAAGAGGACTAACCCAAACTTTCTAGCCAGATCTGTTGTAGCATGACATTGTCCAAGCCAAGCAGGTCTTAAGTAATAGCATGCAGGAATAGTCAAAAAAGAGGCACATAGGTCTGTGTGCTGTTGACATGCTAACGTATGCATCTGTTAACAGGCTAGTCCCATCTCTTTTTAGGCTGATGTAGCAGATGAACAAGTACAGGCCTAAGATATGAGACTCACAACACCTCACAGTCTGTCCTACCTGCCATCCACAATCATCCTTGTGAAAAAACGTAGGTATTGGTAGATCTCCACGCTGTCATGAATTCTTAGGATTTCCTCCTCGTTGTATTTAAAAATTGCAAGAGCATAGCGGAAAATCACCTGGAAAGTTGAAAGGCATTTCAGTTGGCAAAGACTTAGGCAACTGAGGGATCAGGCTCTCATGGCTTAAAACATAGCATAAGGGATACACACTACAGTACATGTGGTTGCTGGGCTTTTCCTGTACTCAGTAGGCTGCTTTAGGTCGGGCCTAAAGAAGCACAGAGCTAAACTCAAAAGAACAAACCCAAGAGAACAACCTCCTGTAAGCTAATTTACAACTCTAGAGCATACCAGAGCCTCCAAAAGGACCCTAAAACTAATCTCACAAGGATTTTCCAGTTCTCTCTATGCAGAGGGACAGTGCAAAATTCACGATTATTTTCAGGAATATTAAATCTCTGCCCATCTTCTGATCCCTGTACCTGTCCACTCTCAGCTGTGTCTGAGTTGTAGAGCAGAGGGGACCATGTCATAGAACTGTTTTACAGCAGGACTACATGCTAAGAAATGGCAGGGGCACCACGCAGAATATCAAAGACTAGATCTGCCTGCAGGCATCAAATACACAGCAACGGAAGATGAGGAGACATCAAGGCATCGCACTAAAGAGGCAGATGGACAAGAGGTTCATGCCCACACCTCTTTGACACATGTGAATGTTCAATCTGCTGTCATGTCAGATGTGATGAAGATAGAAAGAAGGCCTAGATTAAGGGTTTTACCTTAGTTCCTTCATACAAGAAAGCATCCCACACTCGCAGGAGGATGTCACTGACCAAGCTGTCCACAAAGGCCACCAGAAACCAGTTGAAGGTAATGAGTGAGACATCAATCTGATACTGCTCAAAATGAGCCATGAGGCGAGGCAGCTTCTCTGCCAGGAAGTCTTTGAAGACTCTTTGATCTACCTAAACTTGACCAAAATGAAAAAAAAAAAAAATTAGCAAGCACAAACCATCCTAGTGGTGAAGGAGAGGAACAGTGAAACAGAACAGTGGCCTACACATGCCACTGGTGGTGCCTTATAGCCTAAACAGGAAGAGCACAGAATCTCATTGTCTCTCAGCCCTTCGTAATTACGGAGCAGCAAACTTCTGTGTGGAACCAAGTGAAAGGTGTGGAGCTGAAACAGGGCTGAGATGTGCAGAAATGTGCTCTTCTCTCACACAGTGCCAAGAGTTCTCCGTCTCAAAGTCACGAGGAAAAACACTGACACATCTTTCCACATCTGTCTTACTGCTATTTTCTGTGATGTCATGAGAAAACAGGTGAATAACAGGGACTAAAAGCATGCTCAGGTCTGAATGACTGCAGATGGCCTAACAGACTGAATACATCTGACCTCTCTCTGTCTTCACAAGAAAGAGCTAATCTTCTCACTTCTTTGTAAACTCACTGCTGTCTGTTTTGCTTGTAGCTGCATGAGCTTAGACACACAAATGCAGCTGGTGAGATCCTTTAATCAAGTTTATAAAGGCTTCATCTCAAGGAAGCTGTGGTTTTACGAGAGGAAATGTACAAAGCAAGACCAGGGTTAGGTCCTTCCCTGCACCGTATCATATTACTATACCAGTTCTGTCAGCCTACTTACCTTTGGCCCTGTAGTACAAACCAGACAAAGTGATATGCTTTGGTCTTTCAAGTCTGCAAGAACTAACCTTAACATTCTCAGCCAGCTTTCACTTTATCAAGCTAACCCACAAACACCCTAGGCCTCTCTCTTTACTTGCACCTTGGCTATATTTTCAGGGGCCAAATGAGGCCATGAAGTTCTTTCCAAAAAAGGCTCACTGATGGTCATTTCTCAGCAAACGTAGGAGAATCTCCTGTCATTTCTTCCCCAGCAGTCTCTACTATTCAAGCATTGACTGCAGTCTGTCAAATTTCACTGACTCCAGACCACTACACCACAGACATTTTGCTGTCTGCACAATAATTTGGCTGCTTCCCAAGTCTCTGTGGGCTGGCCAGAGACTTGTTTCCCAGACACCTGGGAAACAGCATGGCCCTGTCCTAGTAAACACCTACAAACAATTCAGCATCACAATAAGACAAGGGGGAATGGTTTTAAACTGAGACAGGGGAGGTTTAGTTTAAATATCAGGAGGAAGTTTTTCAGCCAGAGGGTGGTGAGGCACTGGAACAGGTTGCCCAAGGAGGCTGTGGATGCCCCATCCCTGCAGGCATTCAAGGCCAGGTTGGATGTGGCTCTGGGCAGCCTGGGCTGCTGGTTGGCGACCTGCACACAGCAGGGGGGTTGAAACTAGATGATCATTGTGGTCCTTTTTCAACCCAGGCTACTCTATGATTCTATGATACCAAACAACATGCCTTAAAAACTTTGAAATCCACTGACTTTAAACATTTTATATCAAATGGCCACAGTGCCTTCTGATCTGCAGGGAGTTCCAAAGCCAGAATTAAACTGCGTTTGATCCTAAACTGAAGCACAGTTGATATTAAAATTCCATCACCTTCCTTCATCTGCACAGGGCACTCCAAAGATGGAGAGCAGTTTCCAAAAAGACACTTTCTTCATATTTGATTCTACACGTCAGAGTTAGCTACTTCACTTTCACTGGGTCCTCCTTACAATAAATAAATGCAGTTAATGGGCACCTCTCTCCTGGCTAACCTGACATCCAAGTGATTATTCAGGAGTGGTGCCACATTTCTTAAACAACTTTGTAACTGTAATGGAAGGAACTACAGGGTGATGTCAACTGTCAGAAGTCAAACACATTCCAAGCTGGGTACTTGTTTTTAACCCTTTTCTGTAAGTCACCACATCAGAGTAGTACAAGCAGTAGTGGGGGTGCCAGCTCACCTGTGACGTTATCAGGGTGTCACTGTAGTAGTCTGCTGGCATTAGGTTCTCCACAATATGGACCAGACACCAGAAAGCATTTTCCTCATCTTCCAGGACCAACAGGGCAACAGCTGCCAATCTGTGATGAACAAAACAAAGTGAGGCAATAGAACTCTGCAGGAGGAAACAGTCCAACCCAGGAACAGGAGAATCCAAGATTCTTACTGGCCTGTCTCTAGCTCTGCGAGGGAGCACAGTTGGTCAGAGAATATTCTGTTCTGCAGGCTTCCAAAGGAACCCAGGGTCTATGCCTTCCTTTCCTGTGTGCTTCTGTCAGCAAACAGGAAGCATCAAAAACAGAGCTTCAGCAACAAAAGCAGGCTCCTGAGCTAATGGAATATTCTGTAGACATCCTTGCATTTAGCAAAGTGTGCTGATTATGGCTATTTCAACGTGGGAAACAGCTTACTTAGAGATATTTCATATTATGTGACATGGCTCACCTCATCCTCTCATCCATCCACCCTTACTCCCCTTAGCTCTGACTTATCTCCCTTTAGCTAGATGGGAAGAGTTCAAGGCTGGGGAAGCATACAGAGGCTGGATCAGACTTTTAGCAGCATGATCTGGTGGCAGGTATCCCAGGGAGGACAGGGCAGACTGGAACTTGATTATCTTGAAGGGTTCCTTCCAATCTGATCCATTTTATAATTCTATAACACCTAATATCAAGGGATTTCTGGAATGGAAAAACGTCTTTCTGAAGACCACCTGAAGAGCAATAGAAATGGCTTACACAGATTTTCCTCACATGAAAATGTACAATCAGAAAATCCCTTCTTGCAGCTAGTGACCAGTGCCTCTTTTTGTAGGCTACACACTTCTTAGAAGTCTGTTTTTATCTTTTCTGTAGCTAAAATTTGGGAAGTGAAAGAAGCTTTTAGATTCCCTGAGCCCTCACAGACTGATAGAGCTCAGGCTGTTCAGCGTGGAGAAGAGAAAGCTCCAGGAGACCTGGTGGTGGCCCTCCAGCCTCTAAGGGGGGGCTATACAAACACAGGAGACAGACTCTTTAGCAGGATCTGCTGTGACAGGACAAGGGAAAACGGTCTCACACTAAAGGAGGAGATACTGAGATTGGCTATAAGGAAAGAGTTTTTGACAATAAAGGCAGTGGGGCACTGGCACAGGATGCCCAAAGAAGTGGTGGATGCCCCATCCCTGGAGATATTCAGAGTTAGGCTCGATGCAGCTTTGAGCAACATGATCTAGCTGCAGGTGTCCCTGTTCATTGCAGAGGAGTTGGAATAGATGACCTTTAAGGCTCCTTTTGATTCTGTAATTCTTCAGATACATCAATTTCCTTAGCTTCTCCTCATGTGCCATCTGCTCCAACTCCTAGCACTTCCTAACACTTCCTCCAACTACTGCCAAAAGCAGACAAAAGCAATCACCAGAGCCTTCTTCTGAGCACATTATGACTTGCAGATTCAGCCTATATCTCGTGACATTAGCCTGAGACTGCATCACTCTACCTCCTACAACTTTTCCTCTATAAGTTACAAAATAGGAAGAAGACAAGTGCATTCTGTTGCTTGCTACAACACAGCAATAACGCTGAGTAGAAAAAAGACACCATATGCAGGATACAGCAGGAAAATGTCTAGAGCTAGTACAGCTCTAGAGAGGGACAGGAGACTGCGACTGTTTGAATCATAGCCTAGAGAAAGTATCTAGGCCATCTCAGTGCTATCCCACGAAGAAGCAGCATACCTGGCTCCTCACCTGTTCAGTCCCTGGCAGTATCCAATGGCAGGATTGTGCCAGGAGAATGCCAGAAGCACCCTTCGGAGCTTGGGGATGAGCTGGGAAGTGGGAGATGAAAAATATTTGTTGCTGGTCAGTGTCCGGGGCAGGTCAAGCTCAATCTGCCGACAGGCAGGGTGCTCTGTGCTCTTGCTCTGTCTTAACAGTCGCTGGTAGTGGTCAGGCAGATAGCTGCAGTGCTGGCTGACAATCCACTTCCAGACCCGCTGCCGATGCTCCACAGGAATGCCACTTCGAATAAGGCTTTTCAGCTCTGCAGAGGGACTCAGCTCTCCAATGCTATTCCACTTGTCACGAAGGGGCTTCTCCACTACCTCCTGGCTTCTCAGATTGTTGGACTTCATCTCCAGGGCTTGAATTTTGGCCAAAAGTTTCCAGTCCTCAACTTCATAGTCAGGTACAGTCATAAACCCGTACTCATCATACTCACTGGAAGGGCACAAGGCAGAGGTTAATTCAAAGGCCAGTTCTGGCCTCTGTGTCAAGGGCTATTGCCATGCTTCTGTCACCCACGCCAGAGCACAGGTACTTCTCCTGTGCTTCTCTGGCAGCTATGTGCATGAGCCTGCCATGCCTGCTGCCACAGAACCATGAGGGCAAGTGGTAGCCTGCACCAACAGCAGACAGACACATGAACTCAAGAGTAACTCTGCTCTGAGCTGCAGTCTGGCCTCAATAGACCTCTTCATTCAATCCATCTGTTCTATGCACAGGGTAGTATTTTGCTCAACCTGTTTATCTTCTCTGTCCTAGGACAGAGACAGTTTGGGACTGCAAAAGCTTCAGAGCATCAGAACAAAGAATAGAGACTAACAGTGCCTTCAGATGTCTTCTGTGCACAATCGAGATCTCTTTCTAATCAGAAAACTCCAGAAACTCAGATAGTAGTGCTTGTTGAGGGTCTGTGCACCCTCAGTTCACAGTCAGGCCTACTTCCAAGGTATCACATGGGTTGGAAGAGATCAATAAGTCCAACCTCCCGCTAAAGCAGGTACGCTACCATAGGTTGCACATGCTTGTTTTATCTTTTCTAACATATACCTATCACATCTATTAATTTCAAATTAATAAAGCATTAATCTCAGCTAACACGGGGAGGTAAAGGGATTACCTTACACCTTAATACTTCCTGATCTCAAGGTAGAGCAAGAGCCACACACTCACATCCAGAACCAGGCAGGCACTGTCCAAGTGAACTGGCAGAGAGACCAAGCCTGGCCTTAGATTCTTAAGGCTATCTAGAGAATCTGAATCTAATCAACCAGACGTAATAGAATCTGCTATGAAACTAGGGCAGTAACTGTGTAGAATAGCAGAAACACAAATGCAAGGTCCTCAGTAGCACTAGTATCAAAGCACCCTTGAGGTCTGCAGTTCAGCCCTACCCCTTACTGCAAGACTGACCCACAGTCAGAAACAGGGCAGTCATGGCTTTATATGAATGGGTCTAGAAAACTCCAAGGAATACTTATTCTCTACTTTCCAGGGGACCTCTCATGCATTTCTGTACTCTGCTCTGGTGAGGCTGCACCTCAGGTAATGCGTTCAGTTTGGGGCCCTCACTACGAGAAAGAAAGACACTGAGGCACTGGAGCATGGCTAAAGAAGCACAACAAAGCTGGTGATAGGTCTGGAACACAAGAGCCATGGGGAACAGCCGGGGGAGCTGGGCTTGTTTAACCTGGAGAAGAGGATGCTCAAAGGAGATCTCATCACCCTCTACAACCATCTGAAAGGAAGCTGTAGCAAGGTGGGAGTCAGCCTCTCCTCTCAGGTAACTAGTGACAGGGTTTATGTAATTTTTAGCTCCCCTTCCTGCAGTGATATGCTACTATCAGCTGTGCATGGTTTCCACATTACCATTTTTCCTCTACCTCTCCTTGTAGGTCATGGCTCCAATTCCCTGTTACAGAACTGTCTCAGATCTTTCTTGCCTGCAAATTCCCCTCCACTGACAGACTCCTGCAAGGGTGTGAACTTCCCCATGTGTTTCCTTATTACCTCACAGGGTTCAGGTTCAGATCTGCTCCTTCCTTCACATCCCACTGGAGTGCTTCCTGGATGAGGTTCCTCACCAAATCAGCATGTGAGCTGGGCAGGCCACAGACAGTCTCCTGCAGTTTCCGCAAGACCGTCAGGTATTTGCTCTCCATCTGGCAGTTTTGGGCTTGCAGATAGGCACACTGATGGCAAAACAAGGAGGAATGAGGTAGCTCATTGACCGTTTTTCCTCTATCACAGCTCGTTGTTGTATGTGTGGGCCAGGCTAGCAAAGACTCCTGAATAGCAAAACCCCAGAAAACACATCCAACAGTTTTCTACAGGCATGTGAAGTGCAGCTATGAATGAATCACCACTGCCAATGAACACACATGAGTTTCATAAGCAAGCACACAACAGAAGTTGATTTTTGAATGGCAGGCTTAATACAGCATCACCTGCTTACCTACTGCACTGCATTAGGGGGTGGCCATATCCCAGGCAGCACAGGTCAGAGCCACCACTGCATGGGAGTTCTCTTCAGGTTTTTTTCTCTGCTGCTTAGACAAGTTCTCTACCACAGACTGAGCTGTACCCTGAAAATACACACCACTCAAGGGACTGAGCTGGAACCTCAACAACTTCAGGATACACAGCAGAATCACAAAGTGAATATGGTCCTGAGCAACCTCAGTACCATCATACTGCTACACAACATTTCTCAAGCACAGGAAGCTCAAGTGAGTTCAAACACTACACTCCAGGGCATACAGAAAAGAAAAAAAAAGAATGGGAGATAGGAGGAGGAGGAGAGGGGAGGAACAGGGAAAACGAGGATTGTTATCACACTCCACAATTCACAACTGAGGCCATGCAGGTGACAAGACTCACCTAGTCAATGTTTCACAGGAAGCACAAGGAAGAAACCTGCTCAGTGGGAAGCAGTAATTAAAAACAAAACAGGAATCACAGAAAGAATTAGGCTGCATAGGAAGTGGATAGAAAAGAGCATAGGACACTGTCACACTACCACTTTAATCAGCATTTTGCCTCAAGTCGAGCATTTCAGTCTGATTACTTCCATTCTGAGGGTGACAGCAATTGAAGGATCAGAGAATGGGAACAAGCTGAGGTGTACTGGGTTTCAAAAGACTGGGAAGCAAACAGATAAAAGAATGACAACAACACCTCAGAAGCAGCTGCTTGCCCTGTTACAGAATACAGGGCTATGGAGACATTCCTTGAAATCCAGTAAGGAAAACCCAGGGAAAACCTAGAGAACAAATGCCAGCCTGAAGCAGTGGTTTAGGACCAGAAAGACAAGTCTAAGCATAACTAGTTTATGCACACTTACAACACTAGAAATAAAAACAGAGCCTAAAAAAAGAAATGAAGTCTCAACTAGCTGCAGGATCTAAGAGACAGGTGCTACCTGACAGCACCAGGCCTTGTACAGAAATCAAAACTAGATGGAACCAGGACCTAGTCAGCCTGCCAAGTCTCAAGAAACTTCTCATTCTCTTAGCATAGCAATTTCTTTATTTGTATCCAAAAGTACAGCTGAATCTATAAGAATCTGAGTTAGTTTTCAGCATCCCTAAGACTGAACTTTGCAAGCATTTTACTTTGACTGGAGAAAGAAAACAATCATATCTAATCTGGGAACAATACAAAGCAAGAAAATGTTAAACTAAAAATAATAATTAAAATTAAAAAATAGGAAGCAAATTTCTTCCTGGTGAGTTTTCGTATCAAAATCATCCCAGCGCCCACTTTGGACAGAACTTAGAAAAAGGTGTCCCCAGGGAAAAGGAATTTTTTTGCCTCACCTTCATCAGAAGGGCTTTTTCATTCTCAGCAACTCTTGTCCAGAGTCGAGTAACCTGATGGATCTCCGAGTTGAGAAACTGGTTCTGGGTTTTGTATGCATCAATATCATCCTGCCACAAAACAGAACAGTCACAGAGGAAGAGTTTATGAGGATCCCTAGAGGGACTCATGCATGGAACGAGTAAAGGACAAGAAAAAAAAAAATCTCAAAACCATCATGTTCTGGAGATAAGACAGGACTTTCTGGGACAAATACAAAGGAAATGAAAGGCACAACATTAAATAGAAGTGTCACGCATAGAGAAGATATTTGGAAAATGCTAAATAGACTTAGAATACATATGCACTCATAAAACGTAGGGACAGTTGGATGGCAGAAAGCTAAAGAAACAGCTAAATGAAATGAAGAATATTTTTTTCCGTTTTTTTAAGAAAAACAGATGCAGATTTCAGCCCCACAGCTGGCAGAAAAAACACTTCCCACAGCAGAGTGGCTCATATGGCAATTCTCCACCCCATGCTAAAAGTTCATTACAATGGTGCATGTGGTAACAGTACAACAGGCTGGATTGGAAAAAACTAAGATGCGTTGGGAAACTGTTTGCAAGAGGGAAGCACACACCAACAGAGCCAGTGAAGACAGCAGGTTAGACTGCAGTAAGTGAAACAGGAGATCGAACAAAGACGCAGGCACTCAGTGTTAACAAGAACTAGATCAAAACAGTGTTTTGTTCTACCTGGCTAAAGCTAAGCTATATGCTTCTGAGAACCCTATCGTACCAGCTGAGGCCCTCCCACCCCGTCTCTAATGCTCATACAACTAAAAATAGTCTGTGCTTTCCACTAGGAACAATCTCCCACTGAACCAGAGGGTACAGGAATGTGACCTCCCAAATAAACTGTGCCATCTCCACACACCTTCAGGTGCTCAATCTCCTCCTGTTGTTTATACAATGTCTCTGCAGTGATAGCGTTTGCTTCTTGCAGGGGATCAGAGTGTTCTCGGGTCCTCTGCTCTGTCAAGGCCATGATGACTTGCTGTTTGGCATGATTCTTCTCCATCAGAAGCTGCACATGCTCTTCCAGTTCCTGGATATGGCTGTCTCTCAGAGCAAGCATCTGCTCAAGTTCCTTCTTTTCCTGCTCGAGAGCTTCCAGTCGACTGGTGAGATCTGCAATTTGTCTCACTTTGTGGCGCACTAACTCCAGCCTGTCCTTATCTTCTGCTGCAGTGAGATACATGCTAGACACTCGTTTCTCCTGCTGGGCTGCCTCGAGGGCTTTGTGGAGAAGCTTAACCAACTCCTGGAAAAAGAAAGCAAACTCACAGTGATTACCTCACAGTGCTGCCCAGGGCACTGCCTAGGACACTACAGACCTGCCTAGTAATGAGTGAACAGCTAAAGATCCTCAGGATCTCAAAACCGACTTCTCTCTGAAGGAAAACTGAATGAAAATTGCTGTATTCATTTCAGCTTTCACACTGCAGAAGTGCTCCCTCACTCCAAGCCACAGGAACATACGACAGCTTGCTCCACCACTGTGCTGCTGATTCATGCTTTGCTGTCTCAGACATTTAAGGAACTAAATCAAGAGCGTAACTCAATTACTTACCATGAGACCTGGCTCTCTTGTCTCTTGCTGGAAGAGATACTAACATTACTAGGGAGCCTGGCACTATCACTCAGGAGAGAGAGGCCTTGCAGTGACCCATGTGCTCGGTTTCTGCAGTCACATCGCATCTTAATGGTGGATTGTTGTTCAAAAAAAAAAAAGCATGACAACTCAATCTGGCAGCTCCTGTCAGCATCATAATACCTATCCAAGATTGTACTTCATACATCAGTTAAATAACATACACCAGCATGACAACTGCAGAACACACCTGGATTTTTTTTTAAACCTCTCTTTTCCAACCTGTCTGCTAGATGTGTTTCGTAGCTGTCCATGCTTCCCTTGTGCTGGGCACCATCAGGCTGTGTACACAAGGGTGACACTAGAAGCCTCAGCTGAGTGCCTGCTCAGCCTTACACCAAGCACCAAGGTCCAGGGAGTCCCTGTAAACACTTTCAGGGTTATGCCCTTAAAGGCAGCAGATTCTTCACCGCACTCACCTTCTGTGACTTGACCTCCTCTGTGAGTGTCAGCATCTGTTGCTGTAGGACGTTCACTTTATCCATTGAGTTCCTCTCCCGGGGCTGCTCTTCTGCCAAGCTACTGTTCACCCACTTGGCTTTCCTAAACAAGTTCAACCTAGACTCCATCCTCCCATCCTCTGGGATCTCTTTCACTGAAAGGAAATAGAGTTAATTTACACAGAATCACCAAGGTTGGAAAGACCCACAAGATCATCCAGTCCAACCATCCACCTATCACCAATAGTACTCGCTAAACCACGTCCCTCAACACAGCATCCAAACGTTCCTTAAACACCTCCAAGAGTCGTTGACTCCACCACCTCCCCAGGCAGCCCATTCCACTGCCTGACCACTCTTTCAGAGTAGTATTTCCTCACATCCATCCCGAATCTCCCCGGTGCAGCTTGAAGCCATTCCCTCTAGTCCTATCACCAGTTACACGAGAGAAAAGGTCAATCCCCAGATCACTACGACCTCCCTTCATGTAGTTATGGAGTGCAGTGAGGTCTCCCCTGAGCCTCCTCTTCTCCAGACTGAACAATCCCAGCTCCTTTAGCTGCTCCTCATAAGGCCTGTGCTCCAGACCCCTCACCAGCTTTGTTGCCCTTCTTTAAACCCACTCAAGGGCCTCAATGTCTTTCTTGCAGTGAGGCACCCAAAACTGGACACAGCACTCGAGGTGCAGCCTCATCAGTGCTGAGCACAGGGGGATGATCACTTCCCTGTTCCTGCTGGCAACACCATTTCTGATGCAAGCCAAGATGCCATTGGCCTTCTTGGCCACCCAGACACGCTGCTGGCTCATGTTCAGCCAAGCATCAGTTAATACCCCTAGGTCCATTTCCTCCACACAGTCTTCCAGACACTCAGCCCCAACCCTGTAGCGTTGCCTGGGGTTGTTGTATCCAAAGTGCAGGACCCAGCATTTGGTCTTGTTGAACCCCATCCCATTGCCTTCAGCCCAATTATCCAGATCCCTCTGTAGTGCAGATCCACACTTCCAGCCAGCTTGGTGTCATTTGCAGACTTACTGAGGGTGCACTCAACACCCTCATCCAGGTCATCAATAAAGACAGTGAAGAGGACAGGCCCCAGCACCAACCCCTGGGGAACACCACTCATGACTGGTCACCAGCTGCATTTAGCTCCATTCACCACCACTCTTTGGGCCCAGCCTTCCAGCCAGTTCCTTCCCCAGCCAAGATTGTGCCTGTCCAAGCCACGGGCTGCCAGCTTCTGCAGGAAAATACTGTGGGAGACAGTGTCAAAAGCCTTGCTGAAGTCTAGGTAGACTACATCAACAGCCTTTCCCTCATCTACCAGATGGGTTACTAGATCATAGAAGGAGATCAGGTTGATCTAGCAGGACCAGCCCTTCGTGAGCCCATGCTGGCTGGGCCTGATCCCCCAGTTCTCCTGCACACTGTGTGATCTCCCTCAAAACAATCTGCTCCATAACCTTCCCTGGCACCGAGGTCAGGCTGACAGGCCTGAAGACAGAACTGAGTTTCTTGCTACAGACTCCTATGTCTTGCTATGAGGGAACAGCTCCAACTTGAAGACTGACACACAGGATAAGAAACATTGACCCGCTGGGATTCACAAATAGCAGGGATCAGAACCACAGGTGCCCCCAGAATAAATAAATAATGTTTTATGGTACCAGTAAACCCTCCCTTCACCCCACCTGTCTTGCCCACAGTAAATGGCAGTTAGCATCTGTGGAGAACACAGACTAAACTCAGCAGCTCCACCCTTATTTGGGAAGAAAGGACTGAAGAGAATGAGACTGTGCAGCAGTTTAAATTCCAACTCAAGGAAATAGTACGGGCTGGCAACATGGTTTATCATCTTGCCTCTGGAAAAGATTCCACAAATAAGAGACAAACAGATGCAGCCTAAAACAGAGTAAAATGAGTCTTTCTTGTGCCAGCAATGCTCAGGAAGGAAGGAGTGAGACAACATGGTCAAGCTTTCATGTCTCAGAACTACTTGCCACTCTATCCTTCACTTTTCTGCTAAGTCTGACTCACTGGTAAATTATATCATACCCACACACATCTCAGTAACAGGCACCTGTACACTGTGCTTCCACTTCTGCCTCTTGTTCAGAGTGCTCCTGGAATTTACTGAAGTTAAAGACATTCCCATCATTCCCCCAGAGTTGCTTGGAGCCACAGATATTGTAGACAGTGTTTCTGAAACAAGAAGAGATTAAAACAGTGAACAGAAGCAATGAGTGCTGCAGCCAGTGTATATTTGAATTACCCAGTGACACACTTCTCCTCATTTATCATGCTTCCTCACATCTCATCCCTCCTCCCAGAACCTGCCTCCACCATTTAAAAAAAAAAAATGAACTGTTCATGGTACTAGTGGATTTAAGGGGAGCAAAGCTGAAACTGGCATGTATCAGAAAGATGCCACAAAATTGCTCCCAGCAAAGGCAAGTGAATCAGATGGAGATCTTTTCTACATCCTCCAGCCCTGTACATAAAGGCTGGACAGAAGGCAATAACAGATCAATCACAATCATTTCTTCTTTCCTTCTCTCCCTCTCCTCTTCCTCTGTTTGCTCAGTTCCTCGCAGAAGCCCTCAGACAGAAACAAAAGTTCAGTTTTCTACAGCACAGCCAAAACCGCTACAACAATTACAGCTGCAGCTGTGATCAGGTCTGTGATCAGACCTGTGATCTGAATCACATTTAATAACTTTGTGACAACTAATCTGATAAGCTCTGATACAGTACAGAGATTCTGGAATAAAACTGCTATGAGATCTAGAAGCAGTCAATCACAGACTATTTGTTGCAGCTGCCGCTTTCAGATGCTGGCAGAAGAACTAAAAGATGTCTCCACAAGATCATGAAGAACCAGCAACACGTCAGTGTTTTTTCTAAAACCTATACAAGAAAGTGAGACAGCTGCCTATTTCTGTATGTCTTCTCCTTTCCCATTAGCTGAAAGAAAATAAGCCCCTTGTTCTAACATATACATAAGACTTTGTGTTAGCTATGTCTTTACTGTTAATGAAGCTGGGACTTAGATATTATTCTCCTTTTTGCCTTTTTACTGTGAGGCTCTAGAGTAGAGGAGCAGAAATTTCTGACCTAAGCAAATGCATTGGCAGAAGAGATCAGCAGACCTCCATTCTCCATAGGCTGCAGTGGGCATCCATTTGATGCAATTTTCCTGCTTTTCTTTATTTCATGCTATGCTGTTTTCCCCATGAAACCAGAACAACTCAGGAATCAGAGGAACTTAGCTGAAACCAGACACACTACACAACAGAGCCTGCAGAAATGTTCACAGAACCAAGGTAACAATTGGATCTGAGAATGAAAAGAAACAATCATTACTCAAGCTAATAAAAGTGAGGCTGGGGAGGAGTTATGATTACAGTATTTTTAATCAAAGTTCAGAGGAAAAGAATGCATTTCCTGCAAAACAGTACAGTTGAGATTGCTACTCTTCAGTACCATAGGAAGTCTTTCTTCCTATCAGCATCAGACTGTAGCCAGAGCAGCAGCAATACAAAACTACAGCCAACCTCCCCACCAAAAACATTTGGCAAGTGCCAGGCACCTGTGCCTGTGACCATCTGTGTGCTATTGGTTATATGTAAATAAGTGATGAGGATATGCTTAAGGACACACTGGTACGGATTGTCCTTGAGCAACAGTAACTGCTCAAGGTTTGTAATGTGTCAGGTGAGCCACAACTTGCAATCACAAACATGAAAACAGTGCAGGCAGGGGGACTATTCACATGCCTGAAATTCAGCCAAAGTGCAGCAACCTGTGTAGTGTCAAGGCCTTATTACAGACTCAAATGCCTTGAGCTTGAAATACCTGCTCTGCAAAGTACCCAAGATCCTTTCAAGCCACTGGAAAGGGCTTCTATTGCTAACCTACAGAGTACAGTTCAACCTGCCCGGAAGTCCTTCCAAGAGTAATGTTCAGATGCACCAGAAAAAAAAAACAAGCCACTAGCTGTACCTAGGAAAGCTTAATCAAGCTCTGATTCTGCCTCTAGGATCTTTTGCAAGACAGCTAGATCTTGTGAAACACATTAGAACAAGCGGATGTCAAAGAAGCTCCAACATAAAGTTTGTTTCTTCATAAAACTGCTTCATGGTTTACCTACCTAGAAAAGTGTTCCAATTCAAACTATATAAAATAAGTAATGCACAGAGGGGCATGTGAACTGCACTGCAATCTCCTCATGCACTTACTGTATCTCTGTCCAAGGGTGCTTAAGGGAGATGTTCTGCAAAGCTGTAGCTGTTTGGGGTGCAGGCAAAGAGGCTGCCTGTAAACCCACCACTTCTGTTGGCGTTTTGACTGGAGGCAGAAAGCCCTCATCATCAGCAACATCTACATGGAAACAAACCAAACATGAAAGGCAAGTGTCCAAGGCAATCTTTCATTAGACTTTGACTCCTTAACGTAACATAAGAACCACAACATTTTCTTACATGTAGGCATTCTGTGCACAACACGTCAGTAACAAGAGCAGCAGAGCAGGTTTCCCTTATATAAGCTGAAATTACAGAAGGTTCCAAGTAGTCCCTGAGCAAGTAATTTATTTCTACCAAGTGGTTTCAAGCACTTGTACATGAGAAAGACCTTAAGAAATCAAATTCAACACTATAAACAGATAAAGAGCAGAGTTATTGCTGTTCCCTACCCCAGTCACAGTGTTTCTTAATGCATAGCTAACAGTTCACAAATACTTTTTGTTATAGTACTACTGCTCATGATAGTAAAATGCTAAGGTATTTAAAGCAGACACATAGCAGTGAGCAGGTTGGTTGCTTTAAATAAAACATGTAGTGCATCTAATCATAGCTAAACATACAGATGCTCTGCCCTCTGCTGATCCACTGGCCTCTATACTCAAACTGCTAGGAACGTGCACCTTTATTCCTCCACCACTACAGAACTTGCTTACTGCAGACATCACAGTGGAAAGGGACACCACCAAATATGCTGGCTTCATGTGTGTGAGGAAAGCTAAGAGGAGATTCAGAATCATAAGATACCTGAATATTGCCTAACACATGCTGTGGCAGATCAAGAGACAGTGTATTCATGTTCATCTCCAGTAAGGCCACGACCTCCAAACACCAATCCTGGCATTGATAGTTAGCACATGCATTTAAATACCTGGGCAGTGCCTCCACCCATTTAGAGATGAGGAGCACTGCTCACCACTCAGAGTCTGAAAGCAAATGAAGGGATGACATATGTGACACTTACTTATTCTGCCAACTAGAGGTTCATTTACAAGCTGGGAGCTGCTCACAGGAAATCTGCTTTGAGCACTGCAAAATTCCCAACGTCTCACTTGTAGCTGCTGCAGCCAGTACATCATTGCCTGTTTGCTGATTGCCTAAGATAACAGAAAACAGGAAGAAGCAGGCAATCTTAACAGCGTAAGACATAATCTGTAGAGTTAACAACCACTGCTCTGCCCATGTTAGCAAAAATAAAAGCCAGGTGAGTCATGCTTATGCTACATTCTCCAGTCCCAAGTCTTAATTTGGAAAGACAAAGTAAATCTTCAGCATGGCCTTAGCAACAGAACATCAGTAGATAGCTGACCAAATTCTAACCTTTTCTGGTTTACTGTGTTCCAAGACTAAGCAGTAATGTTAGGATTACTTCAGGTGGGAATAATGAACAGAATTCTCTTAATAGAGACATTCATAAAGATAAGAATCTAAGCTTCCTGCTGCAAGAACCATTTCACACAGAGGAGCTCATTTCTATTCAGTAAGTTATGCATGGGTGCAGGACTCTTAATCACTTCAGTTCAGCACCCAGCTTAGCTTTTACTCCCATTCTGTTAAAGAAATGGAAACCCAGCCTTTACTCCCATTCTATTAAAGAAATGGAAAGCCAGCCTTGCAAAAACAGACTAAGAAACTTAGGTCTACAAGGTAACAGACCAGGCTGAGAGGATTAAAACAAAACTCAGGCTGAGGTACGTTACAGAGATCTATCTGTCCTAATGGGGAATGTTTTGTAATGGCCCACAAATGAAGGTGCTGCCTCTTACCTTTAAAGTAAAAACTCTGTTTGGTGTTCTTATCTCAAAAACCCCTTCGTCATTTTCTACCCTGCAGTCAAAGCTAGCACTGGAGAGATCAATAGAGCCCAGAGGGTTGATGTCCTGTGCAGTCCTGTAGTACAGTAAGTGGCATTTATTTTCATCATAAATGAACCAGCGAGACTTCCAGGTCTTGATTGGACCCCTGATGCCTAGCTTATTTAAATAGCCACAGAGTCTTTTTCTGTGTGTTTTGCTACTGGGTTTCAGCTGTATATTTTCCAGTTCTCCAGGAGAGGGAAGCACATCTTCTTTTGCTGAGTCTCCGTTGCTCCTATTGCCGTCTGAGTTTGGCTCTGTTACCTTGTCTGGAACTGCAGCACTGGGACAAGCACTACTTCCTGGTCCTTTCTTCATCTCTTTCAGGAAATACACTCAGAATCAAATTGAAACAGGAAAATCTCCAAGTAAATGAGGTACAGCAGATACCAACTATATCAACATTATTCTACAACCTGCAGAAGACAAAATTGAGGAATATGCTTAGGTCTCATACATGACAAAAAAAAAAAAAAAAAAAAAAACACACACAAAAAAACCACACCACCACATTCCCTAGCTTTCAAATTATCCAGCAGAGGTTCCCATGGGTCTCATATTGGTCATCACTCTTTCCCTTCCTAGGCTCTAATGACCTCTACGTCTCAGTTTTCTGTCTACAATTCCTAAGCAGTCTCTACTAGCAGCAGAGAAACCACTATAATCTTTCAGGTGAAAAACAAGTACATCCTGCAGGTATTTCAAGTCAATAGCAACAAACAGGGCATTTGAAGTCACAGACAAGAATATTAAGTATTAGCTGCAGAAAACAAGGTAACAAGCTCTGTCAGGACACAAATTCAGGTCAATGGCTTTCAGGTAAGCTTACCACTGCATGCTCAGCTAATATTTAAACCACAGCATCTGGAGAAAAACCCGTCCTTATACTTATGTCAGCTGAAGAATGCTGTTAAAAAGCTAGCATACCATGTCCTGGGTCTTATTCAGGAGGCCTCAACTGATGGATTATGCACCAGAGAAAGAGATTCTGTGATTCTTACTAAACAGACTCGGTTATTCCATTGCCTAAAGAACTCAGCTGGGTTTCTGTAGGGAATGCAATATGCAAAAGAAAAACAGAAAAACAAGACTGGAAGGGGTAGATTTTTAGCCCTGCCCTCCTCTCAGAGAAAGGGTCAGCTTCAAATCTGTACCTGACTACATGGGTTCACATCCACATGAATTCTGATTGTGTACTAGGGTGGCAAACCTACCACATTTGTGGGCAAATTAGGGAGAAATGACTTTTTGCTCACAGCTGCACATAACAATGTCCAGTGTTCTTTGCATAAACAGAAATAACAACACCCCAGAATAACACCTATTAGAAACTTGATGGGGTTTCTTTTTTTTTCATAAGTAAAAGCCTATCTTAAAGCTCACCCTAATGAAAAGTCTTCCAGAGGCTTCAGGTTAAATGCTGCAGTATCAGAAGCAAATATGTAAGCAAATAAATTCTTGCAGGTTTAAGTTAGTGGGAATCCAACAGCAACCACAAAACCATTGAAAAATGAACCAGTGGTGTGATGACAACAGGTCAGTGGGGATAATACAAAGGAGTACAAAAAGACACTGGCCAATCTCATGCTTTGAGGAACAACAACCTCCTTACTGATACAGGCTTACAGATATTAGTACTGCTTAAGTTCCATTCCTTTAATGCTGCTTCTTCCCATTCACTCATCTGCTTTTCAGAAAGCTACAGAATGCTCACAGAACGGCCATGGCTGGAAGGACCTCAAGGATCATGAATCTCCAACCCCCCTGCCATATGCAGGGCCACCAATCTCCACATTTAATACTAGACCAGGCTGCCCAGGGCCCCATCCAACCTGCCCTTGAACACCTCCAGGGATGGACGGGGCATCCACAATCTCTCTAGGCAGCTGTTCCAGCACCTCACCACTCTCTCTGTAAAGAACTTCCCCCTGACATCCAACCTAAATCTTCCCTCCCTCAACTTCAAACCATTTCCCCTTGTCCTGCTGTTATCTCCCCTTTCCAAGAGTTGATTCCCCTCCTGTTTGTAGGCTCCCTGTAGGTACTGAAAGGCTGCCATGAGGTCACCCCACAGCCTTCTCTTCTCCAGGCTGAACAAGCCCAGCTCCCTCAGCCTGTCTTTGTACTGGAGGTGCTGCAGCCCCCTGGTCATCTTTGTGGCTCTCCTCTGGACCCTCTCCAACAGCTCCCTGTCTTTCCTGTACCGGGGGCTCCAGAGGTGGACACAGCACTGCAGATGGGGCCTCACAAGAGCAGAGTAGAGAGGGACAGTCACCTCCCTGTCCCTCATGGCCACCCCTCTGCTGATGGAGCCCAGGATCCCATTTGCTTTCCGAGCTACAAGGGCACACTGCTGGCTCCAAGCACAAGGGTTTCCTGTGCTATCCAAAGACACACGCTTCTAGCTGTGGTCACGGTGACACTCCATGGCTCCACCACACAAGTTCAACAACCTTGCTAGAAAAGCTCTGGTCAAATCTGCGTTACTGAGGGCTATAGAGAAAGCCTCACCTACTTGCAGGATACACGAGAGATGCCCCTGGGAGCCACTGTCTGCTGCTGCAGAGCTGCAGGCACCCCAAGCCGGGTAACCACGACCTCCAGAACAGATCCGACAGCGAGAGGAGCCTCTGCTTCAAGCCTCCCTCAGCCTGGGAGCCGTCTGAAAGGGCCGTTCGGCCGAACGCGGCACTGACTCACCGACGAAAAGGGAAGAGATGAGGGCTGGCCCCGCACAGACGTTTCTCCCCCCGCCCTCCCACAGCCTCACAGCACAGCTGCATCCCCGCCGGGGCACAGCAGCGCCTGGCACCGGGCTGCACCGCCCGGCCCCCGGGGGGGGGGGGAAAGAAGGGAGGGCAGGGAAGGGATGGGGACCAGAACGGCCGGCCGTGACGGGACGGAAGGGCGTGGGAGCAGCAGAGAGAGCAGAAATAAATAAATCAGCACAGAAGGCGGAGCCACGGGAGGCGGGGCAGCAGCACTGAGCGCTGCCTGACAACGCCTCACAGCAGGACGACGGCAAGGAAACGCCAGAGGGCACGCGGCGTTCACCAGCCCTCTGCTCACGCGGCTGAGGGGCGCCGCGCCTGCGCACTCCGCGCGGTGCGTACTGCGCCTGCGCACTACGCGCGGTGCATGCTGCGCACTACGCGCGGTGCACACTGCGCCTGCGCACTACGCGCGGTGCGTACTGCGCCTGCGTCTCCCGCCGGCGGCGTCCTCACTGCGCCTGCGCATGCTGCAGCAAAGATGGCGGCGCCGTGTGAGCCCCGTGCGCTCCGCCGCTGATTCCCGCCGCCATGAGGAATCTTCGGTTGCTGCGGACCGGCGGCTGCCGCCCCGCCGCCGCTCCCGGCAGCCCGCAGTGCTTTTGCCTCGGCGTCGAGCCCGGCACGGTCTTCGTGGGCTCCCGAAGCGGCCTGCTAGAGCTGGATTCCGTCGCGCAGTCGGTGAGGTGTCGATCATGGCAGGCTGCCGTGGTGCAGCGCTTGTTGCGGGCGGGGGGAGGCATTTCGGCCCCCATAGGGCTGCTGATGGGTTTTCGGGGCTGTTTTGATTCCACAGTGTCTACCCCCACTGTTGTTTTTTTTTTGTTGTTTGTTTGGTTTGGGTTTTGTTTGTTTGTTTCTGCGATGTTTCTATGTGCAAAACGCGCACCTGCTTAAATACTGAAGTACGTCAGCTGCTTCTCAGTGCCATCCGTGCTCTGTGGGTGAAATATGCACGCGGTTGTCATTGTGTTGCTTTTGTAATAATGTTAAGTGCGACGATGTGCAGTTATTCAGCTGTTGGCCTTTTCTTGTCAAGGTGGTGAGAGAAGTTTCTTTGTCTGAGGAGGGTTTTATGCCAGAGGATGGAAGTGGTTGTATCATTGGCATGGAATATCTTCCAGAGCTGGAGTGTGTGTGCGTTGCCACGGCGGCTGGAGACATCCTTCTGTGCTATCTCAGCACAAAGCAGGTAATGTGGCAGAAAAGAGAACCGTATTGAGGGATTGAAAAGGAAAGCTAAAAGTCTGCGTGCCAGCTGTGTATTTATTTCATACCACTCTTCAGTTAGGCTCCATTTTCTGGGCAGGTGAGTTGATTTCTGTGAAAACTTCAGGCAGAATCAAGCACGGAGTGTACGCTGCATAAGTGAACCAGGATCCAAATTGTAACTTGCATATCTGTAGCCCCAGTACTGCATGCTTGCTCAGTGGGCTGCTGACACACAGTCAGCACTGAGTGTCATAAGGGGAGTAAAGGGGCAACCAGATTCATAAATAGATTAAGGTAAGACAGTACTCAGAGGTTTATACACAACCATCAATTTTAGTGAGAATCCATATATTACAGTTATCCCCAAAATATTGGCACTCTAATACTTAGACCCTGTCTTAAACCGTGCAGCTAACCTATATGATTTTAAGGAACCAAAATATATCTTGTAGTTACCCGACATCTTTACAAGACATGCAGCTTTTAAGAAACCAGAATAGACCTTGCAGTTACTTAGTGATTTTATGAGTTAAAAAGAACAAAAAGAGAAATCTGAGGAAAATGGAGAAATAGTGAGAGTCAGAAAAAATGGACAGGAGAAAGACTGATCACTAGTCTGTTTGGAAGGTCTCTTTCATGGAGTTTCAGTGTCAACCTACAACACTGGAGAAGGAGGAGGGTGCTGAGTGTGATCATCTGAAGGTCATAGTCTCAAACCAGCAAACAGCTGCAATGACCACAAAGAAGGCAACTTCACAAGGTTTTTCTCAGGCTCCTTTTATGCATATTGAGTTTGCAGGTACTCTGTCCCAAGGCTGTAAATAAACAAGTTTGCAATAACAAGTTTGTCAAAAATAAGTTTGTAGCTGAAACTTTTTTGTGGGAAGGGTAGGCCTTGTCTCATTGAGAAAATAATGTCATATCCTTGCTGAGAGTGCCTTTCAACTGCCTGCCATGATGATGGCCTTGTATTTCAAGTTTTTGAAACGTGCTGAGCACACCCCATAAAGTCAGAAAGAGGAGTTTTTTTGGTCCTTTACGTACATTCAACAAACGGTCTCACAGCAATAAAATATTGCTGAAACTAGATACAGACCTCTGCTGTGAAGAAAGGCTGAGGGAGCTGTTCAGCCTGGAAAGAAGGCGGCTCCAAGAAGACCTTATTGTGGCCTTCCAATACTTCAAGAGAACTTTTAAATAGGAAGAAGACAGACTTTACACAGTCTGATAATGACAAGGGGGAGCAGTTTTAAACTAAAAGAATGTAGATTTAGGTTAGATGTTAGGAGCAAATTCCTCTCTTAGAGGGCACTGAGGTGTTTGCACAGACTGCCCAGGGAAATTGTAGATGCTCCATCACTGGAGGCATTCAAGGCCAGGTTGGATGGGGCCCTGAGCTTCTTCATCTGGTGGCTGGCAGCTGTACCCATGGACGGTGGTTTGGAAATGGATGATCTTTAGAGTCCCTTTTAAGCTAAATCATTCTGTGATAACTCACAGAATCACAGAATCACAGAATCGTAGGGGTTGGAAGGGACCTCCAGAGATCATCGAGTCCAACCC